CCCCAAAACCCCAAAACCCCAAAACCCCAAAACCCCTTCTTTTGTATATTACTTGAAATTTTGTATTTTGATTTAGAGAGCATGAGAATTTAGTCATTTGTACCATGTGTTCTTTTGCCTCTCTGGGTCAGGGCAACTGGAATCGGCTCAAAGTTCCTCTAAAATATTAGGGATTCACTTACAGATTTAGCCTTCTGGTTCGAACTTTCTTCGTATGCGAATGCTCCAGGCAGATTATAGGACCCAGGGCCGGGGTTTGCTATAGGAGTTACAACTGAGGATAACAAATATTACATAGGATCCCTTTGATTTCCATAGATTTTCTGGAATCTTTTCCGAAACCATAAAGTCTATTGATTGGCTTGTTACTCTTGATGAAATAGTTCTGTTTAGGATCGTATTTCCCAGGAGGTGGGACGTCATTTGAGCTATCTTTGAATCGTCTCCCAGTTCCCAAATAAGGCAATGACTTGATATTTCTAAAAATTATAAAGTTCCATACTTGAATTGAGAAGTATGATAAATTCCGTTAGGGCTGATCTCATCCTTTGTTCTGTAATGGCCAGGTCCTGGTACGAATCTCTTGGAATGATGATCATGGTCTATTCTAAGAATCCAAGAATTTACCAACTGGTTTATTTATTCCCGATGCCCATTGTAATTTTCCACCCTATAGCTTCATACCAGCAGATTTACCTTCTTTGCCAAGCATTCCTTTGGGAGCGTAACTTCCTGGACCAGGGATGTCATTATCAGGGGCTTCCACCATATTATGTACTACAGCCTTCTTATAAATCTTTGAAGAACCTCCGAAGGAGTAAGAGGGTAAGGAGGATGATCTGCTATTGAAAGTATTCTTGGAGTCATATTCCCCTGGATCTGGTCCTAATTCTACATATTTTAGACCAAAAAGTGTACTTTTAACTCTATCAAATCTTTGGCCAATTCCAAAGCCAGATATGCTCTTTTTCTTGGTTTCAAAACTAGACCTGACTTGGTAGTCGTTCTTTCAAACAGGGCTTTTGACTTTTGGAAATCTAGCTCCCTTCGAGAAGGAGTACTGCTGCTTCGCCAAGGAGTTATTGACTTGACTGAATGGTGAATATGACCTATATAATGATTAGAATTCTGGTATAACAAATCAAATAGAAGATTTTAATTATATCTGCCCCAGTTTTGTACCTGCTGACTCTTTTCCGCTCGCTCATTTCTTATAGTTAATTATTTTATTGTGCTAGAGACCTGGGGTTTTGGGGTTTTGGGGTTTTGGGGTTTTGGGG